ATATCACCTCACACCTATCAGAATAGCTAAAATCAACAACATAAGAAACAACAGGTGTTGGAGAAGATGTGGAGAAAGGGAACACTTGTGCATTGTTGGTGGGAATGCAAACTGGTACAGCCACTGTGGAAAATGGTATGAAAGTTCCTCAGAAAGTTAGAAATAGAACTATCCTATGATCCAGTAATCACACAACTGGATATTTACCCAAAGGAGACAAATATACTAACTCAAAAGGATACATGCACCCCCATGTTTTTAGAAGCATTATCTACAATAGCCAAATTAAAGAAACAGCCACATCTATTGACTAATGAATGAATAAAGAAAATGTGGTGTGTGTGTGTGTGTGTCTGTGTTTTTATATATACATACTGTGGAATATTACTCAGCCATAAAAAGGAATGAAATCTTGCCATTTGCAACAGCATGGATGGAGCCAGAGAGTATTATGCTAAGCGAAATAAGTCATTCATGAAGACAAATACCATATGATTTCATTTGTACACGGAATTTAAGAAACAAATGAGCAAAGGGAAAAAAAGAGAGAAAGACAAACTAAGAAACACACCTTAACTATAGAGCATAAACTGTTGGAGGTGGGAGTGGGGATGGGTAAAACAGGAGATGGGTATTAAGGAGTCACTTGTGATGAGCACTGGATGATGTATGGAATTGTTGAATCACTAATTGTACACCTGAAACAAATATTACACTGTGTGTTAACTACACTGGAATTAAAAAAAAAAATGATTATGACTAAACCTAAAAAAATGTGGAAGACCTCAGAGAAATTTATACATGTTATTTAGAGAAATAAAAAAAGACTTAAGGAAATGGAGGGATATAACATATACCATGTTCATTGATTGAATGATTCAATGTTGTCATCATGAATGACAATGAATCAATATTGCCATCCCCCATCATCATGGGATATGTCAGTTCTCTTCAAACTAATCTACAGATTCAAAGTATTTCTTTTTTTTTTCCCTTCTTTATTGTGTAAATGGAGGGTTGAACCTCTTAATCTCATTTACCTATTTTGCCCACCACCCCCTTTCCTGGCAACCACCAGTTTGTTCTCTCTATTTATAAGTCTTGTTTTGTTTTAGATAGCACATGTAAATGATATCATATGGTATTTATCCTTTCCTGTCTGATTTATTTCATTTAACATAGTACCCTCTAGGTCCATCCATGCTATTACAAATGGTAAGATTTCATTCTTTTTTTATGGATCAGTAATATTCTATTGTGTGCGTGTGTGTGTGTGTATACGTGCATGCGCACACACACACACACATACACATACACATACCACATCTTTACGCATTCATCTATTGATGGACACTGAGGTTGCTTCCATACCTTGGCTGTTATAAATGCTACAATGAACACGAATCCATATATCTTTTCAAATTAGTTTTCTAATCAAAATCTCAGCAAATGTATTTGTGGAATTTGACAAGTTATTTCTAAAACTTAAGTGGAAATACAAAAGTTAATTTTAAGCAAGAATTAAAGTAGAATGGTTAATCAAACTGAAGACTATTCACTAAATTGAATACTACATAACAATGAAAGTAATTAACTATAGCTACATGCAACATGGATGAAATTTATAAATAGAACATCGAGCAAAAGAAGCCAAACATAAACAAGAATATATGTATGATATCACTTCTATAATTTTCCAAACAACAGGCAAAACTAATCTATAGTGTTTGAAATCAGGATAGTATTACACCTGGGGATTAGGTAGTGATTGAAAGGTAAAACGGGGGTTTCTGTGGGTCTAGTAATTTTCTGTTTCTTGATTCTTGTGTTTGTTAACATGGGTAAATTATTTCATGGTGTACACTTAACATTTACACTGTTTTTTTAATGTGTTTTTAAGATTTTATTTTTAAGTTAGCTCTATACCCAGCATGGGGCTCGAACCCATAACCCTGAGATCAAGTTTCATGCTCCACCAGCTGAGCCAACCAGGTGCCCCTACACAGTTTCTTGATTTGGTAACATTTACACACACATCAAAAAGAAAAAAAATAAGGAAGTTTTTTATATACTGATAAGGAATGATCTTTAGAATAAATTACAAAGATAGTGAAACAAGATACAAAACTGTATAACATGCTATAATTTGTGTTACAGAAACATGTATATTCATATTTGCTTATATATACATAAGGCAAAAATTATGTTACATATAATTGCCTTTATGTGTACATAATAAATCTCTGGAAAGATATAGTAAATAAGTAACACTGCTTGCCTCCATTGATGGGGACTAAGTGTCCAAGGAACAGGAGTAGAAGATAAATCCTTCATTGTATATACAACTTACATCTTTTAAATGTCAAACCAGGTAAATATGTTAATTATTCAAGAAAATTTAAAAATAAACATAATGCAAATTACCTTTATAAAGCAATAGCATATTTTAAATTGGGGTTATAAACTTCCCCAAAAGCCAACTCTGATGGATCAAGTTTGTTAGATAATTTCATAAATTATAGGGTTCTTAAAATATTCCTTCCCTGCAGCTTAGCTAATATTCCTTAGAAGTACTCTGATGATATCAAAGCAGAACACCACAGATAGAAAAAAATAACTCTGATATAATAAGTACAAATAATTTAATGTCTGTATGTCATAGACTATCTATTGAATTTTACTTGAAAACCATATAAAACAATTCTAAGCTTTTCCCATTATATAATTTATGATCAGTGATAGCAAGGACTATTAAGATGCCTAAAATATGAATGTCTTATTTTATTAATTTTCAGATCATGTAGCACAGAAATCAAAAGAGTTGTTCTTCCATATTTAGCTTTAAAATCAGATTTGAAAGGAGTCCAAGGATCATTCCCCAGAAGCAGCTGAAATATCTAAACCTATTTCTAAATGGTTACTGCCTTCAAAGAATATGAGATCAAAGGTTGAAGGTGCCCTATGAAAAAATAAATAAAAACCTAAAATGTATAGCATAAGCTATATAAATATATATATGGTACAAACATAAGGATATATAGAAATTTACATAGTTAACTGGCTAATTTAAAAAGGCTTAGAGTTCCAAAAGATGCTTGGTTATTAAATTCTCCTTTACAGACCTAAGCCTCCATTCACCATACATTTAAAAATATTTCCCTCCCTATAGTAAATTGTGATAGTTAATGATTATTTCAATTCAAGATAATAACTTTCAAATTTAAGATAATGAATTTATCTTTGTCAAAAAAATAGATATCATACTTTTGTAAGCATTAAAAGAAGCAATGCCTACAAATTTCTATGATTCTATATGTCCAAAAACTGTCAGCTTGGTTTTTTATGTTGCTAACAGGTAAATCCAAATCAATTAAGATAATAAAATTATAACTGAAAATCATCACCATCAATTGTTTCTTTCCCCACCCCCCCAAAAGGGCCATAAAAGGGGCCAGAACATTTCCTTCAACATTCCAACTGTGAGGGTGAAAAACCTATTTTGTTCATCTACACAAAAGTGTAAGGCCAGATCTACTCAAATCATCGAAACAAACAAACAAAAATCTTACAAGCAGAGAAAGAGATAAAATCAATATGTCAATATCTGCGTAGGTAATATTTTTAGTGATAAAAAACAGGAATAGTACAACTCTTGACTGATCTTTAAATTTTTTAATATCCTGAAATTTCTGCTATATTACTTACTTTAAAATTTAAGATAAAATAACCAAAATTAGATCCAATCTAAATAAAGAAATTCCATCTAGTTTTAGCAGACATCTAAAATATAAATTTCCTCCTCTCAAAATATACTGGATATAATAAATATAATATAATTGATGGTGAATCCTAAAACACTGTAGACATAACATTCATGAATATTGAAGGTTAATGATTTAAATAGTACAGTATGCACACAAGTGAAAAAAACTTCAGGTAAATAAAAGAATGTCTGCATAACTGCCATCGTTTTTCCTCACATACTTATAAAAACAGATTTACTTCTTTAAACTCTGTCCATATAGTGATGATTCCTTATTAAACTATTACCATTCAACAAAATAAAATAAGCACTATCTTGAGTTCTTAGCAGTGACTGCCTGCCTCCATTATTCACCTACCTCAGTTTGAATAGTACTTGCTAATCTGTGTAAATTTACTTCTCAGGGGTTTCTTTTTCTTTCATTAACATCAAATTTTCCTGTGATGGCCCTTCTCATTCACTGCAAAGAGTTAGATTGTTTTCCAAATAATAAACAAATATCAGGTTATTTTTCAGTTAAATTACAGAGACAGATAATGAAATACAAATTTTACTTATCTCCAGGGGGATTATCAGTTGAGTAGATGTAAATTATGTTCTAGGTCTAATTGACACCAACATTAGAAACATTAAAGTTTGGTAATTTGTTACAAATAAAATCTAGTAAATTTTCCCATATCCATTCATTTAATTTTCTCTTTCTGATTATTAATATTTCATTCTAAAATGGGAGAACTGAAATTCTGATCAAATTACCATCTTGGAAAACATTAAGCTTGTATGTGTAGTATTGCTCAACACTTAGTACCAACATTTTTGGAATCTAAAACTTTTGTCTCAGGGTTTTTTTTCATGTTAAAATATTTAAGCAAAAGAGTTTAGTGTAGGACATAACTGCCACGATCAAAAGGTGTAAAAAAACATTTAGTATTTACTTGACTTTTAAAATTTTAGGTCTGAGTTTTCAGCACCATGGCCTAGGGGGAAAAAAATGCATCACTGCTGCAGTGCCAGTTTATAGCAAGAACAGAAATGGTAGGAGTTCCCCATTAGATGATTGAATCTAATCAATTACGAATTTTCTATGAAAATAAACTACTATAAAAGCAAGCATAACATCAAATTATTCCAGGTATTAAGATTCTGAAAAAATCTAGTCTTTCAAAAGTTAACCTGAAACTTCTCAGGAAATACTTTTCTCATACATCAAGAAATTGTTTAACTCAGACATTCTTACCGTTCTCGGTTAAATTTAAGAGAATGAAGAATAGCTGGCCTTTTTTGTCTAAGATTCCACAAATGAAGGGTATCATCTGAACTTGCACTAACCAAAGCACCCTGAAACAAAAAAGAAGACAAAGCAAGTGAGTGACTTCCTTAAGAGTTTTATTTAAGCAAAAACAACAAGCTAATTCACTGAATTTTTCACTACTTGAAGAGTTATTTGTATCTATATAACCTAGAAATATAAGGAAAAACAATTGTACAAACTTCAATCAGGAAGGCTAAGAATGCTGAGTAGAAGGAAGTGAACTACTACATATAGATTGGTCTGGATGACTAGCTCAAGTCATATGCATTTACCACTAGAGAGAATTAATTATTGTAAGTGTCATTAGGACTATTAAGGATTTTTGTATTTTCTTTGGGAAAAACTAAGTTTAATTTTCTTGTCTCTAATATTCACACACATACTATGTAGCTTCCAGAAAAGAAAATATCCAACCCAGTTTTAAAATTGCAATCTGGTCACATAAAAATTCATCATTTGTAAGGATTTTCTGTACAGTTGGAAAGTATATATCCTTTCTAAAAAGTATACTTGGTATAATTTATTTTCAATAGGTAACTTATTTCAAAAAGCTTCATCTATGGGGCACCTGGGTGGCTCAGTTGGTTAAGCATCTGCCTTTGGCTCAGGTCATGATCCCAGGGTCCCAGTTCAGCTCCCTGCTCAGCCGGGAGTCTGCTTATCCCTCTCCCTCTGCTTCTGCCCGTCCCGCCTCTCTCTCAAATAAATAAAATCTTTTTAAAAAGAAAAAAAAAAGCTTCATCTATGATAAAAGAAAACATCTTTAATAAAAGAAAATGTTTCTCCAGCTAGAAATCAGTATAACTATAAAAATAATACCAATTTTTTACATTACATCCAAATACAGATGAATTATATTTCAAATACAATAGGCTATTTTCTACCTCTTAATATGGCAGACACCATAAGGGCAGATAACTAGTGGCCATGTATGATTTCATACATATATATGCTTAAACTATTTACTTGAGTTAAGTAAGAACATCTTAAACTATGTCAGAAGTTTTATGAGTTTCCCAGCTAAAAATGCCAATGCTTGCCCTATGACGAAGCCTGAAGGTACTCTAGAGTACTGACTGTGTTCTATAAAAGAGATCTTGCAAAATCATGTATCCTAATATACCCAAAATTCTTTTCATATTATCCAAAGTAATCTGTTACAAGTAACCTTTCATAGTTTATAACATCAACTACATATATAAAATGATTATCCCATTTAGATGATCAGATATAGTTATACTGAAATTCCTAAGATTTATTTCTTCTTTAGGAATTAAAAGAGAGAAGATAGAAACTGTTACAGAAGAACATTTAGATTCCTAAGATAAAGATGCTCATGTATCCTATCATGCTTCTCTTCATATTGTGTACCTGTGATTTTAGACTCAAAGAATAGCTTTTAAAACACAAATTGTAATCCAAGAGTATACCCATTAAAATATATTAAAAATGTATATAATTTGCATATTTGTATGTAAGTATATAAATACACATGCTAAAAGAGTTATACATTGATATATACATTTTAACATGAACTCAGAGATAATTACATTCCATGCAATAAAATATATTCTATATATGCCTTGAGGAATTTTATGTTTGTTTGCTTGTTTTATTTATAAACCATCTCCAAATGTTACTTATATACAAACTAGAATGTTATTAGGATTGCTTACAAGTGCTTGATAAGCTCATTTCTTTTCTTTCTTTCTTTTTTTTTTTTTTGATACAGGATACTGATCTCCTTTCTAAGGACAATGGAAATTCACTTAGAATAGGGTGAGGATAGAACATGATATTTGAAATTAATAAAACATTCTCTAAATAGTTATGTGCTATACAAAAGACATAATATGCCAAAGGCAATGGAATTAAAGGCAGCATATATTCAATAATAGATAATAATAATAGCCAAATAAATCTAGGAAGGAAGTCAGTATTATTAGTTCTATGATAAAAATAGGAGAAAACTTATCATTTTGGAGGGATGTGAATAGGACCACTTAGCATAACAACACCAACAGAGAATATAAGACACATGAAAGTAAGCACATCAGCAGGGTGTCTAGGGCTTATTTACAAAAGCAAAGTGAATCTATAAGAAGCACAAGTAATAAAGATCTACGAAAAGATTAAAAGCTGAATAAAAACACCAGCTATGAGGTCAGAGACTAGGAAGTTTGGGAAAAGGTAAAGAAATTGAGTGTGAGAGGAGAAAAGATGGTGGAAGAAGAGGGGACCCTATTCCAACCAGTCCCCTGAATTGAGCTGGATATCTACCAGACCACTCTGAACCCCCATGAAATCAGCCTGAGATGTAAAAAGATACATCTGGATCTCTACAAAAAGAATATCGCAGGTGGTTGGTGACAAGGTATGAAGTGGGGAGCCATGATTCTGAGGGCAGATTTCAGAAGATAAACGGAAGGGGGAGGGAGGCTTTGGGAGCATGCACTACTGGTGTGTGAAACCCTCCCGGGCTAGGGATGGGGCACAGACTTGCAGACCAGTAGTGTTGAGGAAAGGACTTTAGGGCAGCCCCCCGACTGAAACCTGGAGCCTGGAGCCATGCATGGGAACTGGGGGCAACTGGCGGTTTTAGAAGCACAAAGGGGAGAGACGTGCCTGGACCTGGAAGCTGAGGGGCACACAACCCAGGATGCTGCAGTTTTTAGCAGCACAGACAGAAACGTAGATAGAGTGGCCTGGAGAGCTCAATGAACAGCAGACTGTGATCTTTCTGTTCTGAGACAGAGGGTTAGAAATGGTCTCTTCTGCTCTGACTCTTCGAAGAGACACAGAAAGCCACCAGGGAAAGCCACCAGAGAACAAAAGCCCAAAAAAAAAAAAAAAACAGTTTTCACTGAGCCCAACCCCTCCCCCAACAGGGGGTAGGGCAACTCTGCCCAAAAGGTTGCCTGAGTAACAGCACAGCAGGCCCCTCCCCCAAAAGACAGGTTGAGAGAACAAGAGGCCGACAACCCTAAGGTCCCTATAAAACAGGTGCATCTTGCATGGACTGTGTTCAGTAATTTGGACTCTGTACATTCCCTCAACCACCCGTCAACAGAATGGCTAGGAGGAGGAACCCCCACAAATAGGAAAGACTCAGAGACTGTGACTTCTGCCACAGATTTACAAATGGATACAGATATAAACAAGATATTGGAAATGGACTTCAGGGTAACAGTTATGAGGACGATAGCTAGAATGGAGAAATCGATTAATGGCAACATAGAGTCTCTAAGGCCAGAAATGAGAGCTGAACTGACAGAACTTAAAAATGCTATTAATGAGATCGAATCTAATCTAGATACCCTAACAGCTAGGGTAAATGAGGCAGAAGAATGAATTAGTGATCTAGAAGACAAATTGATAGAAAAGAA